AGCTGGCTGGGCAAGGCTTGGACGGGCATACAGTTCACGTGGTAAAACACAGGCTGGACGGCCAAGCCCAAAGCATTGTGGTAAATGGAGCTAAATCCAGCAGGTGGCCAGTCAAGTGGTGTTCCCCAGGGCTCAGTACTGGGGCCACTTCTGTTTAATATCTTTATCAATGACATAGACCAAGAAATTGAGTGCACTGTCAGGAAGTTTGCATAGGACAAATTTGGTTGGGAGTGTTGGTCTGTCTGGGGGTAGGATGGCTCTGCAGAGGGAACTGGACAGGCTGGATCAGGCTGAGGTCAATTGCATGAGATTCAAGAAGACCAAGTGCCAGGTCTTTTCACCTCAGACTCATTAAAAAGGGGAAGTTAAACCAACTCAAAATAAATATAATCACAAGAAGGAACCCTTGTCCAGTGTTAAAATTTCCACACAGAGGAACAGGGCCCAGAGCTTAGAACTAGCTAACCGATGCTCCATACCTGAAAACATTCAGCATCAAGCTGGACAGGGTGCTGAACAATCTGATCTAGGTGAAGACATCCCTACTCCTAGCAGGGGCAGTTGGACTATATTACTTTCAAAGGTCCCTTCCAAGTTCTGCTAACCCACTGACGTGCTAACCCTTGAATAAATAATTCCAGGCAAAGTCCATACGTTCCTTATTTGAAGACTGACAGAAACTAAAAGGGAATAACAACTACCTGTCACGGCCAAACATCTTAGGAGACAAGAGACACTCATATCCATTGATTTTAGTCCAATATTTTACATCGGACTTGCATGTTAGAAGTTCCACTGCAATGGAATTTTGCTGCCAATCTCAGGTGAACATACATCCCAACTTCAAATATATAAACGGCAACCAGGAGCACATATGGAGATACCCACCAGTTTCATCATGATAGTTCACAGCCTCTGTCTCCATCCAGGCATTATCGGTGTTACGAGGGTCATCCACATATCCTCTGTACACCTAAGGCCCCAGAAAAACCAAAACAAGCTCAGTATCACAACAGGAAACCAACGGGAAACCTTGTTGAGAATGTGGAATCAATAATATTTTTGTTTCTTTCCCTCCAATACATTGGCCCTTACAGAACTTTTAGTACCGTCACAGCCTATCTTCATCTCAGCTACACTTTTTCAGTTTTCAGCTGCGAGTTACATGCACAGCTCAAGAGGCTATCACAAAAGAAACAGAGCTCACCACAAAGTGTTCCTGGCTGAACAGCATGTGGAGTTGTTTCTCCAACTCTGCTTTTTCCTCAGGTGATTTCTGCAAGGAGTTCAAGGCCTCCTCCCCAAATTCTCTCTTCAGGGTAGCACTGATCTTCTCCCCTGGGTCTACCATCCCCTTTTGAGACAGGGAAAAATAAAAGTAATTTTTAAAAAAGTCATCAGACACCACTTATTATTACTGCTCCCCTTTATCTGGCCCTTAGTATATTACATCCATCAGGATGATGCTCCACACATAGGAGGAACTCTACACTTAGAGCACGCACATCCTTCGACACCTGCAATGGATTAAATTGTGCCTGCATTAAACAAAGTGCACAGTCAGGATTAAATGTGAATACCACCTTGCAACGCAGAAACAGCAGAAGGCATACCAGTCGACACTTGGGGAAAGCCAGTTTACACAGCACTTCTCCTCACCTCTGCAACATGAGGTCATTCCTCAAAAAGCACACTTTTAGCACATGCACACCATGTAGCACCTCACAGCCTTACTAATGGGGAAATGTCTACTTTCACTGGAGCTTTGCTCTTACCCCTGGAATGGCCCACTCCCCACAGTCTCTCCTCTTGATCGCCACGAACTGCAAGATGTTTTTGCCAGTAACTGGATGAGCAATTTTGTTTCCACTTCTATCCCTCTTCCACCTGCAGCAAAGACAAACAAGAACATTCTTTGCTGCTTCTTGACACAAGGGCCTGGGAGAGAAACAGCAAGGCATCCGCCCTGTCATATGCGTGGGGGCAAACCAAGCAGAAAAAGAACCATCAGTAGTCAGAGGAAGCAACAGATGCTTTCTGGCAAGACTGCAATCAAGGGCAAAATACTTGAGTTTTTGCACACAAGTTCACCAACTGTGTTTTCTTTGACCAAGGTGGCAGAAACTAAGAGTCACATTTGCACAGCCACAATGTTAGCAACAGCTCCTTTGAGAGCTGCATCCAGCACATCTCATCAACTGCAGTGCTCACAGAGTGGCACTTGTGCCTACCAATAAAAAAGAGAAGTACGCTTTCTGCTAGAACAGAACGTACGTGCAGGCTGCAACACCTCCACACTGCTCACCCAGCACCATCGCAAAGCCACCAACACCCACCATTGCCTTCAGTAAAGAACTGAATACTACTACCAATAATTAAAGCAAAAAAACTAGCTAAACAAAGAAAATAAAAACAGCATTTCTTTTACATTCAAGGAAGTACTCAGCAGCATTGGCAGCCTTCTGAAAAGGGGAATATGTAAAATGCATTAGGACGATTTTCACGTTGGTTCTACCTTCAGAATGGCACTTCATAGCTCGCACCTTTGTTTACTAAGCAACCATCTCTGAATGTTGATTTTGTGTAAAAACGTTAGCATGTACACACAGATCCTGCAAGCAAAGCACTGTTAAAATGGAGCATACACTGATGAAAAATAAAGAAAAATGAAAAAAATGAAAAAAAAGAAAAAAAGAAGAAAAAAAATGAAAAAAGGGGAAAAAGGGGGAAAAAAAAAGAACTGCCTAACCCCACCTTCTTCTCCAATACAGTATGACAAGTTAATATTTGTTTTTTTTGCAGTTGAGTACTTATGACACAAAAAATCTATTCCTGCATTTTAATATGCCTCATCTAAGGCCTTTTGACATACTACACATACAGTATAAAAGTATCATGTAATCCTTTCAGTTTTCACATTCAATACTGAAAATTATTTGTAGAATGTACTTCTACTGCGTTACACTTCCTGAGTTGTTGGCTTTGTTTTTTAAAAATTACTTTCTCAGCATTTCAGAAGTGATTGCTTGTCAAACAGCAAGTCCTTATTCTTTTCCAGAGACAAAGGCCAAAAAAATTATGAAATTCAATTTCCATACGTCTCTGTATCTCTCCATCCAGATACCCATACCTAAATAGCCTTACTCAGAGGAATACACACAAAAGGCCTGTGAAAAGTAACAGCCTGTCCAGAGATGCACAGAAAAAAGCAAAATGCGTATTTTTTGCTTTACTGCACAGCACTTTTAGGTCGTCTGTCCCTTACCTAGTTACAACAGGATCAGCAGCATGGTTTGGTCCCCAGCGCCCCAACAATCCTCTGCCCGTGAGGCCAGTCCTTCCCGCCGGATTTCTGAAGTAAGTGGCACAGTACATTAAACATGGTTACTTCCCCATATTCAAAATATGCTCCAAGTATTCTAAAAAAGCAGCTTTACAGAAGCTTAAACAACGACAAAGTATAGTACCATACAGCCAGTACCCCAATATGCTTTAAGAAAGAAGTGAAACAAAGTATGGCTTTCTCCTTCATCACCTTCTTTTTGTGTCTGATAGTACGGGAAATGTACAAAATGGCTGTGTCATACCTGTCACGGTTCAACCCAGCCAGCAATTAAGCACCACTGTATTGTGTTTTCTGTGAGGGGGTTTTTGG